GAGAGAGATGAGAGAGAGACAGAGAGAGAGAGAGAGAGAGAGAGAAAGAGAGAAAGAGAATAAATAGATCGATAGATAGACAAGCAGAGAAAGAGATATTTCTTTTTCAACCAGACCCATTTTCTATGATTAATCCCACTCTTTCTAAACCCTCTCATCTCATCCCATGTTTCTAATCCAACCTGGATAACTACCAAAATCTACTCGTTGGCAACCCTCCGATAAGCATCACAATCCGTCAGTAACTTTTTGCTTTAATCTTTAAAAAACAAAAGTTAAACATATCATTACTCTCTAGTTTTCAAATGGGAAGATAATTACCTCGTTATTATCATCATTAGCTTAATTACTTCTACTATTAAGACTATCCTTATCAGTAATATTATTAATTCTATTATTCTAGTATTAATGTTACCTTTAACTTAACTTGTAATATTGCCATCATCATCACTGCTATATTATTATAATTGATAAACTTCATTATTAGTATCATAATTAGTATATTATGATCATAATTACTACCGTTGTTTTTACTCTTCATATTCTAATTCTCATGATGATTATTATCACGATTATCCTCACAATTATCATTATCATCATCATCATCATCATCTTCATCATCATCATCATCTTCATCATCATCATCATCATCACTAATCACTTTCATAATCATAAAAGTAAAGAGAGTTTCGATTACAACCTCGAAACACCACACAAAAACAACAACAAAAAAACGACACAAACAGACACAAACAACAACAAACTTTGTCAACAACAAGTTTAGCTTTGATATCATGACAAAGTTAGTGCTGTATCGGTAACTACATTTCCTGTATAAAGTGAGGAGGGATTACTTATTATTATTATTATTATTATTTTTTAGGAAATAATGCTCCGTTATTTACCAAGTGGTTTACGAGTAACTTTTCAGGAATTATGTAATATATTTTAAGCGCGTTGTTAGATTTATCGTTATATATTTGTTACGTAAAAAAGGGAATAAATATATACATACAATCATACATACAGACAGACAAAGACAACACTCAATTACGCTCGTGCAGACAATCATACACGCACTTACACAGAAATAAACACATACATACATACACATACAAAGAAGTAAAGACACACACACACAAACACAACAAACCACACACACACAAACACACACACACACAATCACCCTATCCCCCAGACACACACACACACACACACACACACACACACACACACACACACACACACACAACACACACCACACACCACACGCACACACGCACACACACAAACAATCACCCACCCCCCCACAAACACCCCAACCACATACACACACCCTCCACAATTCTCCCCAACTCTTAAAAATAAAAAAAAAGGAAAATAAAAAAAAAAACACACACACACACACACACACACACAATCACCTACCCCCCACAAACACCCCCCCCACCCAACCACCACCACACACCCCTCCCAATTCTCCCCAACTCTTAAAAATAAAAAAAAGGAAAATAAAACGCACACACACGCACACAACCACACACACCACACACACAAACAATCACCCTACCCCCACCCCCAACCACCACACACACCCTCCACAATTCTCCCCAACTCTTAAATAAAAAAAAGGAAAAAAAAAAAAAAAAACACAACACGCACACACAACACAGACACACACACACAAAACACTCCCCCCACCCCCCCACAAACACCCCCCCACCCAACCAACCACCACACCCTCCCACAATTCTCCCAACTCTTATAAATAAAAAGAAGGAAAATAAAACGAAGCCGGAAAGCGTAAAGGTAAAATACCCACAAGGCGCATAAATAGCTTCTCGTCGCCTCGGGCACCACAACGTCTGAATTATTCTAACAAAATCTTCACGTCCTTAGATTTCTTTGGGTTCTTTTTCTTGTATTTTTTCTTCTTATTCTCTTTTAAGGGAAGTGGGGAAGAGGGGGGGTTGGGAGTGAAATGTGAATAGTGGATTTGTAGTTGTAGTAGTAGTGTAGTAGTCGTAGTAAATAGTAGTAGGAGTCGTAGTTAGTAGTAGTAGGAGTCGTCCGTTAATTAGTAGTAGTCGTAGTATTAGTAGTAGTAGTCGTAGTAATAGTAGTGTGAGTCCGTAGTAATATGTAGTAGTAGTCGTAGTATAGTAGTGTGAGTAGTGTAGTTTGTAGTAGTAGTTGTAGTCGTAGAGTTTGTCGTAAGTTAGTAGTAGTAGTAGAGCGGAGCAGTAGTAGGTGTAATGTGTAGTGTAGTAGTAGTAGTAGTAGTGTGTAGTAGTAGTTGTAGAGTAGTAGTCGGTAGTAGTAGTGGTAGTAGTAGTAGTAGTAGTAGTAGTAGTAGTAGTAGTAGTAGTAGTAGTAGTAGTAGTAGTAGTAGTAGTAGTAGTAGTTGAGTGATGATGATGATGATAATGATTATATAATAAAAATAACAATCAATAATGAGAGATAAGGATGTTGATGATGATAATAATGGTAGTTTCCTTCAATGAACTGGCTTTGTGGGTAAACGAGAGAGTTGTCAATGATTCAGCAGATTTGGAGGATCAGCTGATAAATGGCTTTGGTTGCCTCTTATCTCGCCTCTGTTTCCGGTTCTGTCTGTCTGTCTGTAAGTCTGTCAGTCGTCCGGGATTTCTGTCAGATAGTCAGGCTGTTTGTCAGTCCGTCTGTCAACCTGTCTGTCTCAATCTTGTTTTTTTTCCTGCTTTATCTTTTGTCTTTTGTTTTTTTTTTTTTTTTTTTTTTTTTGGCTATTCCTCTTCCTTCATTCGTTCCGTCGCCCCCCTTCTTCGTGCCTATCCCCCTCCCCATTCCTTCTTCCCCATCCTAGCCTATTCTCCCATCCCCCACCCTTTACTTAATACCCCCGCCTCCCTCTCACACATCCAACTTCCCTTACCTTAAACTGCCTGGCCGCCCCCTCCCTCTTCTTCCCCCTACCATCCTCTATCTTCCCCTCCTATCCCTCTCACTCCACCTTTACTCCTCCCACTCCCTTCTTACACCCTCCCATCGTTCCCTTCCCTCACTCCCACTCCCCACCCACACCCCGCCCCAAGAGCTCCCTCCCATCCCCCTCCTACCCCCCTCCCCCTCCTACCCCCTCCCACCCCCTCCCACGACCCCCTCCTTACCTTCAGCTGCCTGGCCGCTCCGACGGTGACCGTGAGACGCTCCAGGTTGTCGTTGTAACAGAGAGTGAGTTCGAGTTGGCCGAGCTGGCGCGGACTTAGGCTCACTTTCGCTCGAGGTCGCGTCGGAGCATCCGCTTTCCCTCCCACGGGGTTAGGTCCTGTTGGTGGAGGGGGGGTGGTGTGGAGGGGTGGTAGTGGAGGAGGGGGTGGTGGTGTGGTGGAGGAGGGGGAGGGGGTGTTGGATAGGAGGGGTGGTGGGGGAGATGGGGTGGTGGAGGAGGGGGTGGTGAAGGAGAGGGTGGTGGAGAAGGAGGGGGTGGTGGAGGGGGAGGAGGAGGAGGGGGTGTTGGATAGGAGGGGTGGTGAGGGAAAGGTGGAGGAGGAGGGGAAGGTGGTGAGGAGGAGGAGGGGAAGGTGGTGGTGGAGATGAGGGTGGTTGAGGAGGGGGTGGAGGAGGAGGGGAAGGTGGTGGTGGTGGGTGGAGGGGGGTGGTGGAGAGGGTGTGTGTGTGTGTGTGTTGCACACGTGAGGGAGGGAGGGAAAGGCAGAGAAAACGGCGCATGAGTTCTGGGTAAACTAAAGTTGTTTAGAAATACAATTCAATTTAGAGATTATACTGGAGAAAGGAAGGAAGGAAGTGAAATGAAGGAATAATAATGAATAAGAAGATAATAGAGAGAGAGAGAGAGAGAGAGAGAGAGAGAGAGAGAGAGAGAGAGAGAGAGAGAGAGAGAGAGAGAGAGAGAGAGAGAGAGAGAGAGAGAGAGAGCGAGAAGCGGAGAGAGAGAGAGAAGAGAGAGAGAGAGAGAGAGAGAGAGAGAGAGAGAGAGAGAGAGAGAGAGAGAGAGAGAGAGAGAGAGAGAGAGAGAGCGAGAGCGAGCGAGAGAGAGCGAGAGAGAGCGAGAGAGAGCGAGAGAGAGAGAGAGAGAGAGAGAGAGAGAGAGAGAGAGAGAGAGAGAGAGAGAGAGAGAGAGAGTGTTGAGAGAGAGAGAGAGAGAAGAGAGAGAGAGAGAGAGGAGGCAGAAGAGAGGAGAGAGAGAGGGGGGGGGGGGGGGAGAGAGAGAGACGAGAGAGAAGAGTTTTTTTTTCAAACAAAATAAAGAATATGTAAATAGCGAATAAAGGAACGAAGAAGACACATACTGAAATGAAAAAAGTAAGAAGGAAATAAAGATAGGAAAACAAAGGAACAAAGGTGAAATCTAAATACACAGAAAAAAGATAAACAAAAAGAAAATTTTTAAAATCCAATCCGACGAAGAGAAGAAGGAGAGAAAAAGATTAAATGCGAAATGAAGGGAAGGTGAAGAAAAAGAAGATGAAAGGTAAGAGAGACGAAAAAAAAAAAAGACGAAAGGTGGAAAAAGGAAGAGAGAAGAGATACGAGAGCAAAAAACAAAGAAAAAAGATAACAAGAACAGATGAGAAGATAAAGATGAGAAAAGATTAGAAAAAAATCGAGAATAGACATTAAAATGAAGAGAATATAAAAAAATAAGAATAATAAGGAAAAAAAGAAGAAATAAAATACGAGGAAGAAGAAATATTGAAATAAGGAAAATAGGAGAAAAAAGAAAGAAAAGAAATAAAGAAAAGATGAAGGGAAAAAATAGTACAAGAAAATAAGAAAAGAAAAACAAATAGAACAAGAATAAATAAGAAAAAGAAGGAACAGAACAAGAAAAAAGAAAGATAAAATAGAACAACAACAACAAAAATAGAAGAACAAGAAAAAATAAGAAAAAGGAGAAAAGAAAGAAGAAAAAATAAGAAAAGGAATAGAACAAGAACAAATAAGAAAAAGAAGAAGAAATAGAACAAGAAAAAATAAGAAAAAGAAGAAATAGAACAAGAAAAAAATAAAAGAAAAAGAAGAAATAGAAGAAGAAAAAAAATAAAAGAAAAAGAAGACAAGAACGAAAATAAAAGAAAAAACACTAAAAAAGAAAAAGAACAAGAAAGAGAATATACAGAAAAGAAAGAGAAGACAAAATAACAAGAAAAAAGAAGAAGAAATATATCAACAACATACAACACCAAAAAAAAATAAAAGAAAAAGAAGAAGAAATAGAACAAGAAAAAATAGAAAAGAAAATAAAGAAAAAGAACAAGAAAACAGAAAAAGAAAAAATAGAAACAAGTAGAACAGAAAATAAAAGAAGAAGAAATAGAACAAGAAAAATAAAAGAAAAAGAAGAAGAAATAGAAAAATAAAAAGAGAAAGAAAGAGAAGAAGATATCAACCAGTAACAACAATGATAA